CAGTGTTTAGACGGGATATTATGTCTGCATCTTGTGAATAACCACTACGAAGACAACGATATGCAATGTATTAATTATTGAACCTGTCCTACTAAGCGGTTTTGAAACTGTCTCATTGTTATTTGTTTCTCAATAAAATTAATAAAAAATGAAAAATAGTGATTTATATTATGAAAATGTGCTTAAAATTCACTCTTGGTAATTCAAAATGTTTTCTGATAAAAACAATTCTTTACATATGTTTTCTGTTACTAGATTTGGCTCCAAAACAAACATTCATGTGCTACTGGGTTCTGTGCCCCACAAGCAGAGATCTATGAAATATTGGTGGGTAATTTTTTAAAAAATGTATTTAGTACAGGGTCTACAGGGTCTCACTATGTAGCTCAGACCCACAGTGATCCTCCTGTTTTCAGCCTCCCAAGTGCTGGGATTGCAGGTGTGCACCACTATGCCCAGTCTCCGCCGCTGTCTCAGTGCACCCCTGGGGCGGGGTCTGCGCGGCACATCGGGGATCAATTCCCAGTTACTGCACTCTGCCTAAGCAGGCGCTTCAGTCTGCTGAGCTATCTGGCTGGCCCTTCAAGTATTTATGGACATTTAATATTTCTTCTGAGAAGTGTCTATTCATTTCAGTTCCTTCTTTTGACTGAGTCTTTTGTTAGAGGGGTTCTAAATGCTTTCAGTTCTTTATATATTCTAGAGATTAGTCCTCTGTCTGAGGTGCAGCTGGCAAATTTTTTTCCATTCTGAGTTGTTTTACTTTGTTGGGTCTCTTGCTGCACAGAAGCTTTTTAATTTGATATAATCCCATGTGCTGACTTTTGATGTTATTTCTTATGCAAGTGGGTTTCCACTGAGAAAGTCCCTGCCTATGTCTATGACTGCAAAGATTTTACCTATTTTATGTTCCACAGATTTAAGTGTTTCTGTTTTAATATTTAGATCTTAGAGACATTTTGATTTTAGTTTAGTGCCTGATGAGAGATACTGACTGGTCTAGCTTTGACCTTTCCGCATGCAGATACCCTAGGTACAAATGGCCAGTATTTGAAAAAGTGTTCACCTTCACTGTCCTTTAGAGAAGTACAAAGTAAAACTGCACAGAGATTCCATCTTACTGCAGAAAGAATGGCCATCAATTAAGAATCAAACAGTTAACGCACGCCACGGAGACAGCAGTGAAGAATAACCTTCCTGCGTTGCTGGTGGGAGTGTAAACCAGCACAAGGAAAACACATGTTTTTAGTACCTGCTATACCTCTCAGATAAAGTTATGACTTTTCTTTGAATTCAGCAAACATAAATTCCAACTAGATTTTACCACTCTATCTTTCCATGAAAGTTCAGACAATAGAAACATTTGTCTAAAAAACCAAGCAAGTTTTTAAGATTCCAGGATATAAATATTGAACTAAATTAAAATATACATGTGATAAACAAAAGAATACCTATTAACATGTACCTCTTGGTATCTTAAAATATGAAGGTTTCCCAAGAAAGGACCTCCCTATAGTTAAGCTCTGGAAACAGCCCAGATGCCCACCAACAAACAAATGAAGAAACTATGGTATATAAACAGAATCAAGTTGTATTTAGTCATTAAGAAGAATTAATTCATGTTATTATGGGGAATTGGCTTTTTCTTGGTTTTATAAGACAAGGTCTTGTGGTGTAGCCCAGCCAAACCTCAAACACACTAATCCTCCTGCCTCAGCCTCCAAAGCACTGGAATTACAGGTGTAATTGCACAGCCACCAGTCCTGGCTGGCTGTTTTTGGAAACTATAATATTACGTGAAATAAATCTGACACAGAAAATTAAATATCTTATGATTTCTCTTATATAAGAAAACCACAAAATAAAATAAATGTAATAAAAGCTTTTTGAAGAAACTAAGGCTATCAGAAAAGGGATATATAGGGGATGGTGAGATGGCTCAGTGGTCTAAAGCACCTACTTAGAACAAGCTTAGCAAAGCACAGGGACTGCGGTTCAATCCCCCAGCACCACATGCCAGCCAGCCCCGCCCCCTGGTGGGCTGAGCTGCCCCCCCCAGATAAATAAATAAAATTAAAAAAAAAAAAGAAAAGGGATATTTAACCCACTTCAGGATGCCTATTATCAAGATACTTTCATATACAGGATAGCCTAATTTTATTGGTTTAAATATGCTTCATATGCGCTCGATTTCAAATGCATCCAATCAGTAATATCACTGCCTATATGTGGAAGACATGTTCCCATGGATCAAATGTGGAGATGTCAATAAGCTTGCATTAAGCCACCTGCTTTGTAGGTGGATTTATATATATACATATATATATATATATACATACATATATATATATATATGTATATCCTAAAAGATTATTCAATTTCAACTCAATGAAGTTAACTTGAGTTGCCCATATCAATGATATGCACATAGATAAGCTTATACAACCTAGTAGGGTAGAAAAATGGTGAGCACAGATAGCTGCAGCCTGCAACCACTCACTTCCAGCACATCAGAGTGCTTCATGTTCTTAGAGGTCTGTTTGCTAAGCTGAGCATGTGCTGTTTTCATGTCAAGGATTGGCTACTGATTATAAGACTTAATTTTCCAAGGGGAAATCCTTTACTAAACTGTAAACCCAGCAACTAACTCTGATTAGTAAACAGCACCATCAAGCAGAGAAGAAAACAAGTGAGCAGGAAAGATTTACCCGTTCATTACCATGCCCAGAATGTCTTAAAGCAGCTTGTGCAGAGTCAGAACTACATAGCTGATATACAAAGGGAAAATATTTTATACTATTTAAAGTAAGCCAATTAGATATTAAAAACTGTCACAATATAGAAAGCAAAAATTTGATTCCTTATCGGAATTTTACAATCAGAGTTACACAATTTTAATAATACTAATTTAGTTAATATCACTGCAAAGCAAAATCATAAAGTTAAACATTTGATATTTTACACTGTAGGAAACAAATAAGCATCTAATTTTACCTTTTGAGGCTTCTGATACATTTGTATTTAGTTCTCTCTGTCTTGGTGAACTTAGAGGCTTCATATCATGAACAGAAAGCTTTGGTGGCGGGACAGAAGGATGAGATTCCGTTTCTAGAAATTTAACAAAAAGTTCTGAAAAAGACTAAAAAGAAAATACTTTGGTTATATGAGGCTAGGTAACAAAATTACATTCACTACAACTAAGAAAATGTGCCAGCTACTGCAATTAACTGTTAAATATTAATCATGCCATTTGAATCTTTTTTCCTTTTTACAAAGCAGCTTTACAGACCATTGTAGCATCTTATGTGTAGCTACTGCAAATTAGCAATTTAATAATCTTTAACGACAACATTCATTTCAAATACTTCATGAGGTCTTAGTCAACTGAAAACTTTCTTAACATCAGCAGTACTTAAGACATCAAGGGCCGGGGAGATGGCTCACTAGAATAAGTGCTTCCCTGGCAAGCGCAAGGGCCTGAGTTCAATCCTCAGTTCTACCAAAAATAAATAAATAATAAATACTTAAGACATCAAGTCTTGGGGGCCTGTCCATTAGCTCAGGTGTTTAAATGCCTGCTGAAACAAAGCAGTCGGGCTCAGGATGCTGTCGTTCGATCCCCTCATCCTCAAGCCAGACCTGCCCTGAAGGCATCCTGAGCGGCCCCCCCCAAAAATCTTTCTGACATCAAATCTTTTCATTTTAATAACAGACATGAAAAACTGTATCACGTGAAAACAAGTACTAAACATAACTTTCTAAAGATCTGCAAAAGCTCTCCAGTAACATTATCAGATTAAAATAATGTGGTGAACACTTTTCCTCTAAATTAAATGTTATACCAGCCAAGGAAAACAGGGTTTTATCCTAGACTTGTGGGGTTTTGGTTTGTTTAATGTATTTGTTGTTACAGGTCTCACTACACAGCTCGGACTCAGTGATCCTCCTGTTGTCAGTTTTCAGCCTCCCCAGCTCTGGATTACAGGCGTGTGCCACTGCGCCCAGATTTTCTGGCCGGCTCAGCTCGCCCTGGGGGTGGGGCTGGTGCAGCCTGTGGTGCCTGGGACTGAACCAAGGTCCCTGCACTTGCCTAAGCAGGCACTTAAGTCTGCTGAGCTATCTCACTGGCCCCTTGTGTTTTACTTTTTTAATTGAAAATACAAGAAAGAAACCCTCCATTCCCAGTGCTATTAATTCCGTGAACATCCACCTAATGCTCTCTGTGTTTCGGGCACTGCACATGCTCGCACCACGACGGCCTCTTCCTGCCAGACATGGCTCAGGGGCAGCACCCTCCCTTCCGGCTGACAGCTGCTTCCCCAGAGCTTACAGCATCTGGGACACAGCCAGTGCTTGGCAAGGCTCACTGGCGCCATGACTTGGAACATGCAAAAGTAAGTAAAACAGTGCCTCTTTAAAATAGCACAATTAGGGCCAGCGGTACAGCTCAGCGGACTAAGCGCTTGCTCAACGAAGCGCGGGAACCAGGGTTCGATCCCTGGCTCCGGGTGCTGCGCCGGCCCCGCCCTCGGGCGCGCTGAGCCAGTGATGGAGTCCGGGTGCGGTGGCACGTGCCTGTAATCCCAGCCATGGGGAGGCAGAAAGCAGGAGGATCACTACAACCCACGTTGTGAGACCCTGCACGGAAAAAAAACCCAGCACAATTGCCGGGTGATATGGCATACACCTGTAATCCCAGCACTCACGAAGATGAGGTCAGAGGACTGCTATGAGTTGGAAGCCAGCCTGGGCTACACTGTGAATTCGAAGGCAGCCTGAACTATACAGCAAGACCCTGTCTCAAAAATGACACCCTCAAAAAAAGATGAACAGCATAATTTTGTAGAAAGACTGCCTAAGGCAGTAGCATCAAACACATAAAGAAACAGTTACAATTCTAAAAAGTAAAAGTACCATTAAAAAGTGAAAAATGAAAACTATATGCAATCAAATTATTAAAATTGTTTGTCATCTCTAAATCCAAAATAATAAAATAGCTGCATAAATTACCTAAAAGAGAAATCTGATTCTTTGAAAATAAGTACAATATACAATCATTTCATCATTCATATTCAACAAAAATAAAATTAGTCCTTACGCTATTGAGTACAGATTGCTGATTTGGTCTCAGTGGTGTGCTGGGAACACTTTTTGATCCTCCAAGCCACCCCGTCATCCACCTAGTGACACCTCCCTGATCTTCATTAAGCAACTGCAGGATTATTTTAAAACAAAAAAAATCATCAAATGAGAAAATACAGCCATTTTTACACAATTTTAGATATTAGCAAGTCAGGCTTTAGTTCAATTTTTAATATACATTTCCTACTATTGACAAAGGTGACAAACAGGATAAAATTCCATACCAAGCACAACCTCAAATATGATTGTGGGTACTATATTTCAAGATGTCAGTATCCTGATATGAGAATGGTATATAAGTTGCACAGTATTTGAACTAACATCATACAAACTGAACAAATATATCTCAACACAGAATAAAATGATTTCATTTTTACATAATTGAGAAAATTAAGTTATTACACATAATAAAAAGAATGATGGCAGTATTTTAGTTATAAATACAGGGGCCGGGGAGATGGCTCAGTAGGATAAGTGCTTCCCTGGCAAGCACAAGGGTCTGAGTTCAATCCCCAGTTCCTCAAAAAAAAAAAAAAAAAAAAAGGGAAGACAGTGCTTAGAAGACTTCATAATTGAAAAAATGACACCAGAAACAGTAATCAGCCTGCTTACAGATAGTTATAAATACCGTCAGAGAAACAAGTTCAGTAAACGTGTATGGAGTGGCTTCCCTCGCCAGTTACCTGCTCCATCTCCTCCCTCTTGATTCCCAGAATGCTTCCCATCAATCGCAACACTTCATGACGCTGGTTTTTTGGTGTGTGGAAATGACCAACGAAGAGATTTCTCATAAGGACTCTGGAAAGGAAGGAGGAAACCGCTGACACCAACTGCATGTGGAGTCTCCACAAATAGTAAACACACACATTTGATTGTACTTATACAATTACATATTTAACTATAACAAAATATTTTAAAGGGGCTTACAAAAAAAAAAAATCAAGACAATCTCAATTAGGAACATCTAAAATGTTACCTATACAACTTTCTTCACCCCAATAACCTACTGAGGAGAAAGACTGCCTAAGGCAGCAGGATCAAACACATAAGGAAACAATTACAACTCTAAAAGGTAGTAAAAGAGGTACCTAAAAGGTACCTCTTAGTAATGTTCACTTCCTGTCGGGGCTCACGTTCCCCCGAACAGACACTTAAATGGTGGCCACTGTTCTTGTGTTTTACCTGTATATTTTCCTACTCAAATGCATTAAAACTTAGCTGATAATACCTAAATATTAAACATATTCAATAAATGATTATGTCATGCATACTTAGGTTCAGACCTAAGACCTAAGCAGGATATGTTCATGTATGGACAATAAAGGGAAAAAATAGTAAAAATAAATTTAGTACATTATTCTGCTAACCTCCATTAAAGCTACTGATATTTCTCCTTGTTATATAAGAAAAAGGAAAATTTACGTCTAAATTTAATCACAGACAAACATCTACATGCATAAGTTTTTTTAACCATAAAAGCCACCTCTATAAAATACAAAAAGGTAAAAGGTAAAGCCATACTTGTCCACTTTTCCTTCTGTGCTGTTTACTAAGTCCATCAATTTCTTTTGGGCATCGTCCAACATTTCTTGTCGGAGCTGGTCTGTTTAAAACATGTGAATAAAGACAGCCATTACTCATTAAAGTATCCTGGGTGAATATATGACAATCAGACTTCTGAGACTGTTACTGTGAACTCTGAAGATATGGCCTAGTCTACCTGGGGATATTGAATTACTTTTATCTCTTCTTTGGTTAGGAAACTAAGCTCTCTGATATAGAAATTACCTAGAAGCCAAAGTATGCATTATTCGAAGTAATTTACCACCAATGAAGTCATCAATTCCTTAACAGAGTATTTTTAAAAAATCACAAAAGACTTCCACTTTCTTTTAAAACTTAATAGTAAGAAAGATTTTCTTTTCTTTTGCCATTGCTTCCTTCCATGAAACATTTCCAGAGCAATTCTTATTTAGTGCATGGAAATGGAAAGGACAATTTCAGATTTTCCATCTTGTTTTCCTAGCTGGACTCTGCTGTTGGTGAGCTGCACAAGAACACCCAGCATAGCTGAGACAGTTCAAGGCGCAGCTGACACGGCACAGTATTCTGGGAACATGGAATACACCCGAGATCATTAGCTCTACGGACAAATCACGTGGTGATAGCTCATGACTCAACTGGGACAACTTTTAAAATCTTGTTTGAAAAGCAAGCAAACTCTGGGCTGGCCAAACAGCTCAGCAGATTAAAGCATCTGCAAACAGGCGCAACGGCCAGGAGTTTGATCCCCAGGCCTGCCGTGCCGGCCCCATCCTGGGGCACGCTGAGACTAAGTGTAGTGGCATGTACCTGTAATCCTAGTTCTTGGGAGGCTGTAAACAGGTG